TTCAGGGTAGTATCTAGTCGAGCACTCTCGACTAGAGTTTTCTTACTTGTTTTCAATCAATTTTGGTTCATTTCGCTCTTTCTTCATGTCGCTCTTCCTGTCAAGCTTTCATTTGAAAATGCAGCGTCGTGGATGTCGTTTATTTTTGTTTTGCTTACTTTGGATTGGGGTTTGAAATGGGACCGGGCATGGGAAAAGGAATGGCGGTATGGGGAATAGGGAATGAGAATTGGAATGGGAATGGGAATGCGCGAGACATGCGAATTCGAATGGGAATGCAAATGCAAATGCAAATCGAAATGCATTTGGTTTGTGACCCAAATCGAGAGGCGTGACTACACCTAAAAGTTTAAATAATTAACGGAATGCGTGCGATGGCGTGCTTTATTTACGAGCACGCTAGCAGGTGTTCACAGCCATTACCCAGGCTCATTGAATTTACTCATGTCCACATACATATGTACATATGTATATGAATGAATTTGTGAATGTACATACATACATACATATGTATATGTAAATATGCATATGCATATTAATCAAAAACCTCTCAACTAAAATACCGATATAATTAAAATACTATTTTTATTGCAATAAATTTATTAGCTCTTTATTGCAACAAATATGTGAAATAGTATGTTTTAGTTAATTTCTGTTTATATTAAGTTTCTTTATAGTTACATATTGTAAATAAATAAAATGAATGAATGAAATTTGATTTTCTACCCCATGTTAACTGCTGTCTAAAAATATACCTTTGGAATTAGTCACATACATATACATATACATACATACATATGTACATTCATATGTATTCTCTGTACTTACCAGGATATTAACATCACCATGCCAAGCGCAATGACTGCGCCGAGCAGTGTTGCCCGCGTTGGTCGTGGAATTTGAAACATATTTTTTGTTGCGTTTGGTTTTGTTTTTGTTTTTTTTTTATCGTTACACGTTTTATTTTTATTCGTAGTTTTTTATCTATGCAGAGGATAGTGTTTTTGTTTTGAAGCTGTATTGTCGTTAAGTTAGGTTAGTTTCAGTCGATTCTTAATCGATCAGCTGTGCGCGCATGAGCGCCGTTACAAACTGCGCATCTGCACTTTACCACTGAATGCGCAACCACACAATATGTCAATTCGCAACGGGGCACTGAGCCAACTTGCTTTTCCTTCTGCTGCTTCTGCTGCTGCCGCTTCTGCCGCCGTTGCTGCTGCGTAGAAATGAAATATTGCTGCATGAAAACAAAAATATGGCATTTTACCAAAAATAAATGCAAACGAAAAGTCCAAAAATGAAAAAACAATCTTGCTGTTCATATTATTATTATTATTATTATTATACCCTTTCAGAGCATATTATAAATCTGTCACGGAATTCAGAGCATTTGTCAAGAGAATTTTCAGTACTTTGGCGCAGCGAAAACATTTTTGTTTTTGTTATTATTATTGTTATTATCGTTGTACATTCCGACAAAAACAACCATGTTTATAATATAGGGCATTGGCAGATGGTATTTGCGTTCACTAAAGTCGCAAACATGGAAATAATCGCAATAGTTCTTGTTTATCGACTACACAATACCCTGTATTTTAGTTTCGCTTTCCAACTTGAACTCAAGAAGAAAAAAAAGTTACATATGATTGTCAATTTAAGATTTTATATTTATTTAAATTTTAGCTTTATTATGACACAAAAATGGTCCACACTTTTTTTCTTTTAGCGACCAGTGTAGCGAAAGAGAACAAAGAAAGTAAAATTGCGTTGTTGTTTACAGCCTATGCATATGCAATGGTGTTCATATGTGTGTGTGGGTGTGTGTGTATGTATGTGCATGCGGCTATTGCGACTTTCTTAAAATCCTTTTACATCGTTGACTTTATGTGAAGCTCGCTTTGAGCTCCGCTTTTTTAGCAGCTCTGTGAGTAGCTGCGTTGGCGTTTTGGCATTCGCCTCGTCGCCGGCAGCGTTTAAGCGGAAGAGCAAGTGAGCGCGCGCTAACGTAGGCTGGCTACAAAGTGTGAGAACTATGAGAAGTGTGACTGAAGTTGCGATAATAACAAAAAAAATAAACAGCTACAGAAAAGCGAAAAACGAAGACGAAAACAAAAACGGCAAAGTTGTTTGGCCTTCGATGTCTTTTCAATTGCGTCGCAGAATATACATATGTACATATCCATGTACATACATACATATGTGTATACATACATATGTGTATTTTTATGCGTATACCGTCTCTGTGTGTGCCTCTGTATGCGTAATTGAGTGGTGTTGTCATTCTTGTACTCTAAATTGTTCTACTTCTTACAAAGTAATTAAATACAAATTACACATTTATACACATACATAAAATCTTTATATGTATATGTTTTGAGTAAGCAATGCAAAAATAACGCAAACGGTCGGTCAAGTAGCAAGACACTAGTGTTCGCCCCTCTTTTCGTAAGAGCCCTTAAACAAAAGGCCAAGATTGCAAGAACGAAAAGAAAGCAAAACAAAAATGAAGAGAAAGAAAATGACACAGGTTGAAACGCGCCCCCCTTTGTTACAGTTAAACTAAACTAAAACGCAGTTATTTGCAGTAACAACCCAAGACTCCCAAGCCCACACACAAAGGGCAGCAGCGCTGGATAACAAACACCCACACACACACACATACATGCATGCAGCACAAGGCTACATAATTTACGCGCACATGTAATTTCTGTGTTTCAATAATACATATGATTTCAAAACGCAGAAATTCGTTTCTATGTTTTTATATTTATTTGGCTGTAGTTCTTAAATTAATTAATTTTGTAATTCGCACACAAAACGCAACGAATTTCCTGAATCCGCCAGCGCGCAACAGCACAAACAAAAACAGCAAATAATGTTAGGGCGGTTGAGATTGATTCTTAAAGGGGAGGCACATACGACGTACGTTCTTCTGTTAGACGCTTAATTTTTAGCAATCACGAGACAAACTTTTAGATTTATTATAGCGGTTTGAGAGTCGTCACTGATGTCTGCCTGTTTGCTTCGTTTTTTAACGGCACAATAAACAAAAACAAAAAGTGATAATAACAACGAATCAGCGACGAAACGCGCTGCACGATATCAAATGCTATGTTTGCGCTAATGTTAATATCATGGTCCCCCGATGATGCACCGAGCTATCGATAGTTTCTCTTAATTCAACATGAATATCGATAGCATTCACGATGGCTGAACACCGTATGCTAATGTTAACATGCAGCAATCGAGCGCGCAGCCTACTGGCACTGTCAACTTGTTGCAATGAAAATTAAATTTGAAAACGAAAGCAATCTGGCAGGCTCGCAAGGAAAAGTCGTACGACTCAAAAGCAATTTGTTAACTCTGTAGTGCTAACTTCATATTTTTTGTTTGTTTTTTTTTTTTTTTTAATATATTTTGTTTTGATGTTAGCATAGATGGAACAGCAACAACGTGTGCAGTTGCCCTTGAAATCGTCATAGCAACGGACGCACAACAAATGAATTGTTAGCTTTTGGCTATTTTGCTTTTGGCTTGCGTTTCTCGCGCAACAGCAGACGGCACGCTAGCCGAACGCTTGGCATTCTTTAACAGAACATTCCAAATTCAAAGTGCACACAGACATAACAATACACCAACTATGGCTATGGATAATGCAAGGTAGGTCAAATCGAAATTGGGTGAATTTCTTGTTCGCCCTCTATTAAATTGTTTGTTTGTGTAAATGGTTTAGCTTGGCAATGGAATTGCTGCGAGCCGCCACAGAACAAAATGAGGCCACCACACCCAGTGCCGAACCCATTTCCAACAGCAATTCGAATACCCATTCGGATGCCAACATCTCCAACAAATTGCCAGAATACGTGTCCAGGTTCCGCATCGATGGGCAGCCCATCTTGCCGCCATTGGTGAGTAGTTAGAGCAATAGTTATAGTGGGCGTGCCATCACTGAAGCATATCCAACCTAGATGACAGCAGAAAAGCGACAACTGATGCGAGAGCTGCGCGAACGCGCTATGCAGCTGGAGGCCAAGTACAAGCAGGCGCAGGCCGTCAGATTGGCTCCAGACGTTGCTAACAACACCAAAGGCGCCAGCAACTTGAAGAGCAAAAGTTACGACAAAAGCAGCAGTAGCAGTAGCAGTAGCAGCAGCAACAGCAGCAGCAACTTGAGCAACAGCACCATGGAGAACCCACATAGAATGCCGCAGCTGCAACAAACGGAAACTTTTATCTATGACAGCACACGACGTTTTCAACCGCAATCGCAGCCCGTAATGGATCGTCCCCAGACGCTGGACATTGAGCCAAAGAGAGCATCGGCAGTGAATGTAATTCCAACCATTTGCGTGAATCCACCGACACCGCTCTGCGAACAGCCCCAACCGCAGCCACAGTCACAGCCACAGCCAAAGCCAAAGCCTCAACCACAGCCGAAGCCCACAGCTGCGGCATCTCCCGAGTCCAAGGGCAGCCTATGCTCGCTCAGCACCCATCATCGCAAGCTGAACAACATAACCACGCGCATATTGCAGTTTGAGCGCACGGGATTGGGCAAGATGACGCCGCTGAAGCCGCAGCCAGCCCAACTGCTCTGGCAGAATGAGACGATCCTGATATCGGACAAGCGTATGCTGCGCTCCAGCACCAGTCCCTCACTAAGCGCTGCCCAAGGGAACGATGGGCAGTTGCATCGCTCTCGCTCCTTTACGCTCGAGGAGCCGTCGCAGGCGCTCGTGGAGCACATGAAACGCGAGGGCAAGGGGCCGCTGATACCGCCACCACCACCGCTGCAGAGGACATCCGCGTCACCAGCCACGACTGCCAGTGCTCCCACAGTCGCCCCGCTCACGCCTCCGCGCTGCCGCTTAGCGGGTAACGTCTCGTGCTGCTCGTCGGCGCACAGCTTGGCGCACCTGCGACGCGACACCATCGAGTCGAAGGCCAAGCAGGTGCAGCGCAGCGTGAGCAGCAGCCTCGTCGATACGCTGAAGTCCCAATCGGCTCCAGCTGCTGCAGGCAGGCGCCGTGGCGGGGTCTCCGCGCGCCAGCAGCAGCAGCAGGCGCAGCTAGAGGAGCTGTTGCAGCGGGCACTGCACGAGACCCACGCCGCTGCAGCGGAGAAGCAGCACCTGGCGCTGGCCAAGAAGCAAATGTTCAAGGACATCAAGAGCGCGCATCGCGATCGCTTCCAGCAGTTGGTGCAGTACCAGCACGAGGAGCAGCGCCGCATGCAGGAGGAGTTCGATCGCCAGCAAAAGTTCCTCATCGAGCAGATCTGCACGGAGATCAACGTCTCCGCCTACGCCCACGAGTCGCTGTCGGGCGGGCGCAGTCCGAGCGGCGTCTCCGAGTACACTAGCACCGATGACCTGCCGACGCCGTCCCAAGTCTCGCCCAGTGACACGATCACGCCCATGAATCTCACCATGGACATATCAGAGCTGGACGCGCTATTAAGCGATGACAAGGACAAGAATTCGGCAGCGACTACGGCACGCAAGCGACTCTTTGACATGGGCAGCGAGTCCGAGGGGCCCATGGAGCTGCTACAGAGCGCCGTCAGCTCACCCAAAGCCATGCCGTTGCGCAGCCGGAATGCCAATACGAGCCCCAAAGCGAAGGTCAACAAGAAGACCGTGCAGCGCAGCCATTCCAAGCCGCCGGCCTCGAAGAGCAGTTTCAGTCCAGTGCTGTTGGTCAGATCGCCGCCGGCTCGCAGAGTGGCCAACAAGACGTCGACGCCAGCATCGCCGGCAGCCAAAGGCAATCCCCGGAACCAACAGCAGCAGCCGCAGCCGCAGCAGCAGCAGCAGCAGCAGCAGCTAACAGTAACCAAGAGCCGACGCAGCAGCTCGCCGAGCCGTTCGACTGTAAGTAGTAGCTTGGCAGTGCGCCCAGAGTTGGGCAATAATGCTAACAAGAATATTTCTTCCTCTCTTCTGTCCTAATCCCGAATTTGCTTACCATGTTGCACTGTGGCCATGCCAGCAGCGTTTTGTGGCCAAGAAGTAATATGAGTGATTGAACATATCGAAGCCAAGCAAGTGCCTTAGCCCAAACGTTGGGCAATCTTTTGGAAACAATATACACAAATATATATATTTATATATATACCTATATTAGCTAAGCCTTTGACACGTTTCCATATCGATTGTTCAATAAAAAAGCAACGAGAGCTAACTAACCAATAAACCTTTCTCAATACGATCCACACAATTTCCGAAACGCAGCAAGAGCCAGCTGATCGACTAACTAACTAATCATTGCCTTTCTCAATACGATCCACACAATATTGTTATTAACTCGCCCTCTGATCCCCACCAGCGACTGGCAGCGTGCCATCTGGAGGTGGACAGACGCCATCAGGCTGCCACAATTCTGAATGCTGCGACGCGCGGCTTCCTGGTGCGCCGCCTCTTCCGCACGGAGCAGGTGCAACGCATCGTGCAGACCATACGGGACACGCTCATCTTTGTGCTCAACCTGCACATGGAGACGTGCGGCAAGAGTCTGGATCAGGAGGAGCCGGCCAACATACGTCTGAAGGCGCGCCTCCTCCAGCAGGTAAGTTGCCCTGAATTCCACATTCCAATTTGCTCATTTCTAATCATGATTATTTACATATGCCTCGACAGCTCTGCTCGGCCAGCCGTACCCTGCACCTGATCTTCTTCCAGACGAGCATCAAGGAGCGCATGGAGATTATTGCACGCGATCGAAAACGCATTAAGACAAAGCTTTCGACCTCGCAAGCCAAGCATCGAAACTAACCAACATTACTCAGGGAAGGAGGGGGCGTTCCCTACTCCCAATGACCACATCCACATTTGGGTGTTGTCAGCTCCTTCAATCACTCTCTCTGTCTCTCTCTCACACACACACAACTTTTTCACTTGCATACCACACGAAGACTACGTTGCCTTAAAGACTAATTTTAATTCTACTCTATATAGAATCGCAGATTCGAAATCTGCATTGACCAATCTAACATGAAGTTAGGATTTTATTTATAACGAATGCACTTGCAGATGAACTGCTCTAAGTTAAACTATGTTTGCTTTAAGATTCTTTGGGCAGCAAAGAGTTTGGAGCTAAAAAAAAAATGTATATATATATATATAAATAACGAAAAGTATATAAATAAACCAAAATAAAATAATAAATACTAAAAAAAATAAAAAAATTAATAAATCAAATAATAACTTATACAAGTCAAATAAAAATATGAAATATTAACGAATAATAACAAATAAATACAGGCAAATAAAAATGAATAGAAAGAAAATATAATGGAAATAAAATGTAATAATGAATATAAAAAAAGAAATAATAAACAATAATTATATGTTAATATAAAACAGAATGTAAAGTGTTAATATACAAGGAAAGTAATAAATATAAATAATTTTCTATTTGAACACAAAGTTTGGAAATGTTTTAATTGCTTTAAATTAACAAAAGAAAATTGTAATTAAGTATTTAGCATTTGCATGACACTAATCAGCTGGAATATTATTGCCCAATGTTTACTATGCGATAAGGCCGCAAAGCTGATAAGAAGCAGATGGCGTTTGCAACAAAGAGGTACGACAGGGACGAGAGCAAAAGGGAATCTAAAACATTTCAGGTTTGGCTTAACAATTTGTTTATTCTTTTTGTTTGTTTTGTTTGGGTATCTGTTGAGTATTCGGCAGTTAGGGGTCGCTTAGGCCGTCTAAAACTTAGTGCAACCTTAAATATATACAGGCCCAGCGAGCCTAATTAAATCGGCGACGGGGACTGACTGGGGCGGCAGACACGACAGAAGCTGTTAAAATAAAAAGCGACGAGAGCACATAATCGAAGGAGATAGACACATAATCCTATATTGCATACAAGATACTCATATACACACTCCTGTATACATATTTTCTGCATGTATGCATATATATGGGTGTATATGTGCACATAGGCATGCGTATATGTATGTATATCATAATTGTATTGGTATAATTGCATATGTATATATATATATATATAACATTTTCTGTAGCATTATACCTAGACATGCAGACACAACAAGAGGACAAGTTGAACATTAAACACACGCACGCACACACACAAACACACACACACACACACACACACTGTGGCCGTACAGACACACACACGAGTGTGTGTTTGCGCATTTGCACATTGAACATACGTATAAATACTTAATGTGTGTATAGTACATATAGTATAGTATAATAAAAAATTAACTAATTATTTTATATAAAAAGCATACAAATTCTAAGCCCGTTTGCAATATGCCCATCCTCTTCTGGTTGGTGTTTGTTTGTGGTGTTTCGGTTTCAGTTTCTTTTTCTGCTTCTGATTCGTTCTCTGAGCCTGCTGTGGCTTAGGTGAAGCTGCAGCAGGAATTGGTCTTTTTCGCAGTTTTGTAGAAGGCCTTGCTCTGCATGGATAGTTGCTCGGATTTGGTGACCATGTCCTCTAATTTCTCGCCGCGCTCCAGCACCGATTCAATTGTGCTCTTTAAAATGATTTTCGTTTCGTCCAGGTCGGTTTGCATTTTCGTCAGCGGATCCGCTTCTTTGGGATCCTGGTATTTGACTAGAAACGCAGGCAGCGAATCGAAAGCAATGCTCGATTCGGTCCCGGTCTGCCATTGGTCGGCCGACACCGTAGCCGAGAAATCATCTAATATCTTTGTGATTAACGTGTGAGCTACACGATGCGGATACTCGTGATCGGCGATAAGAACGCCAGCCAAGTTGTCCGCCCGCACATAGACATGGCACATGTAGGCGTCCTGTTTGACGGACTGTCGCAGTGCCGGCTGGGTGCGTTCCACAATAGTCTTCGACGCGAAGCTGCGAGGTGCACAAGCATATGTGATAAATGGGCCAAATTATAGGTCAGCGACGGGGCTAATTGCGCCGTCGCCGTAAAAAGCCGAGCCAAAACTCGAATTCTTGAATACTCACGTCATGAACTCATTGACTGTGCCACGTTGAAAAAACGAGAAGGACTGCAAGTCCGAGGTTGTCTTTAATAGGCGCGCTTCGCTGGCACCCTTATAAAATACACTCAGTGTGAAAAGCCTAACCATATTTTACGATTTGTATGCGAGCTGAAAAATTCTCGTCCAATTGGTTACACTTGACTCGAAGTACAGCGCTGTTAATGTCTGCGAATGTTTGGTTGATTTCAATTCGATTGCGAAGGTGGGCTTCAGTTCAGTTCTATATGTTTTGTTACTGATAAAATTTTCGAATTCTATTAATTTGTTTAATGCGCGTCTTCGTTTACTGTGTGAGTACGCACAGCTAGTTTAACATATACATATGTCTATACATATATCGATAGCAATGTTTATCAAAAAAGTAAACGACGACGTGTAATCAAAGCGATACTTTGATATCGATATAAGTTGGCACTGTTGCGCTCGTTAAACTACTATGATTTGTGGGTTAAACTGCCCAATATAATTCGCAAATAAAGACAGAAAAATGGGTTACCTTTTACAATACGCAATCACAACAGGACAATCAATGTATTCAGGAAGCTGTACATTTTTTAAACTTTATAAGCAAATATTTATGTAAACATATTTGGTTCTAAGCCTACTAAAGATAGTAACAATCAAGACTATTAATTTGGTGTACCACCAATGCTGACGGGTGCATTAGTTGACTCTTTTTGCTTTAAACTCTTTTCAAAGCGCTCGAATTCCTTGTTTGCCATTTTGTCAGCTTCGTCAAACACCTGCTCAACGGACTCGACTTCGGGTATATAGAATTGAAGCATGTTTTGAACGCCATTCTTGAGAGTTACGATCGAGCTCGGGCAGGATGAGCACGATCCCTGCATTTTCAGCTTTACAACGCCGTTCTCGTAGCCCATAAAGACAATATCGCCGCCATCCTCCTGCACTGTTGGTCGGATGCGCGTGTCGAGCAGCTCTTTAATCATCATAACCGTCTCATCGTCGTCCTCCAGAATCTCGGTATCTGCATTGGCCCGTGCCTCGTGCAGTATGGGCAAGCCGCTGGCAAAGAAATCCATGATGATTGCAAAAACTTCAGGCTTTATAAGGCCCCATTCTCCAGATTCTTCCTTGGATATGGTAATAAAGTCGCCGCCAAAAAATACAGCACGGACACCTTCCACACGGAACAGTAGCTTAGCTGCAAGCAGCTGGTTTTAACGATGTTGAGCAATAATATATTAACCAAAGCTCACCCAACGGACTACAATGAGCTGCCGCGGCACTGGGAAAATCGTACGTATTTCCTTTTCCCAGCACTTCCACACCGGGCAAGAACTTCAAGCTGTCCGGATTCGGTGTATCCTGGGTCTGAATAAACATGCTGCGCTTTACCATGTGGCCCAGCACCGGAACTGCAACTCCAGCTGGCCGGAGCACCGGCTGATTGGTTGGCCCGACGGCCAGAGTCGAATATGAGTTACGTGCGGCTGTCGATGCGCCCATCTGAACGAGATCCCGGGCTACATGCTGACAACTAAATACGATATTGTGAGCTTCTTTTGTGAATTCGATAAAACAATATTCGTACGTACATTGGGTTAGCAACAAGGCGCGTATTACGCATAGTGTGCTTGGTAGCGTATGAAATTAATTTCGACATTGCGTACTAATTTATTTGTTATAATTTCTATAGATGAGCCTGCTCTCTTATGTACTAACAATGATCAGCTGTTGGGCTCAATGTTGCCAGATAGCTGAATATGTAACTCGATAGTTGAACCATTGTTAACTACTATCGATTACATTAATTCTTGGACTAACGTATTCAATCCGATTAGTAATAATTCAAGTAACGTAGACAAATTGAGTTTTTCTTTTTTTTTATTTATTTAGTGTTAAGAAAAAAATAATGATAAAACTACATACATCTGTATTAATGCTATATTTATAAACTCCCCACGCGGTGCGTCCAATGTGAGCACATTTTTTTACGATAATGTCGAATTGTTGAAGTATAATTTAAACAATTAACAATTAAGAGCGTTACGATCGGATCCAACCGAGCTCGAAAACATACTGATAGACATACTGATTTTGTTTCTCTTGATATTCTAAAACTTCCCTAACTCTGGCTCTAGAAATCTCTAAATTTGGTTGGTTCTACAAAACTGTTGTATTTTGCCGAGTCTGCTGTCCTCAACATTCATCGAACTATGATTATCCCGGATGGACAGACAGCAAGAAATACAGATTACAGGAAAACAATATAACTTTAAAAATATAAATATGTAGTAGCGACATATTAAATAATTACACTTCTAAGACTCGGCTAAGATACATATGCATATAAATACCTATATATGCATACACTGTCTAGTACTCCTCATATATGAAATTTGTGTTGAACAAAGAGTTGCATACATTGACAGCCACATTCCGCCGTGCAATCTTCTTGGATCGCCCGGTAGCTGTGAACTCCTGATTGTCCACGATGACTCCCAGCCGCTGCAGCACATTTGGCTTCTCACCGATAGAGCCGTAGTCCAAATACGATAGTCCCGGACGCATCTGTGGATGATAATTACAAGGTATGTGAAAAACCAGCTTTTGAAATCGCATGCGGATTAGGCCACTTACCACGCATAACAATGTGGCTGGATGCATGCTCTCCCAGTTGAGGGGCAATTCGGTACGAACGGGAGGCTTCTTGGGCTCCTTTGGGGTGACGACCACTGCCGCAGCATTCTGCGAGCTGGCATCGGCTTGCGGTGCCGATGAGTTTGTGGATGACGGATGCATCTCGGGCACAATGTAGCCTTCGCGCTCCCACTCGGCGAACAGCTTGTAGATGGCAAAGGAGGCCAGGTTTAACATCGGCACTTCATCCTCTGGCGGATTGTCATTGCTCTCCGTGTCCATGGGCTCATTTTCGCCCTCGCTCTTCACGTCCTGCTCCGCACCCGTCTTTGTCGCTGGTTTCTTCGGCTTTGGCGTCATTTTGGCAATGATGTAATCGCGCAAGGCCTTCTCACACGCCAAGTTCTTGGCGGCCATCTTCGAGGGGCCCTTACCCTCGTACTGCCTGGTGTTCACCGTGACAATGGCCGTGAAGCCGCCATCCGGATTGCTGTTGATGGTAAAGTCACTAATATTAATGCCCTTCACCTCATTGAGGGCCATCAGCGCGTTCTTGGGCAACATGGACTTGCGCAGCTGCCGATTTTGCCGCAATTTCTTATCGCGAGTGCGTTCTACAAATAAATCAATTAAATTCAATTCACTTAGGCTGGTTTGATGTGCGATTTCAACTCCTACCCGATGACTTCTTGCGCTTTTGGAATATTTTCTTAAATGGTATTTTGCCACCATTGTCGGATTCCATGGCGCTGTTTTCGTTGGTGGAGCTCATCTCGATGGCGTCGTTGCCATCGTTGACATTAGCCATGGGCTCCTCCTTGATTGGCATTGGCACGCTCATCGCCTCTGGAATCTCTGGCGGCTGCGGCTGGGGCTTGGCTGGCATAGCAGCCATCATGGGCGTCTGTTGAGCGGCGGAAACATTTGGATTCTAAACGAAAAGGTCTATTATTATTGAGCGAACAGCAGTGCAGGATACATTTTTTCTTTCTTTTTTTTTCTTCTTTATCCATTTAATATAACATATTTGCAATTTTCCCTAAGCTAGCATATACTTATTTTAATTACTCTTAGAAAAAAAAAAAAAAAAAAATTGTAATTTCTTTTTAGTCTTTTAATTTGTGCGTTAATTCATAGAATTTATATATATATTGCTTTGATAATTTATATCGCGTAAATGCATATTTGTGTTCTTTGAATTAATGAAAGACTAAATATTTTAATGCCAAATTGTTTGCTTGATTTTTAGACGAATTTACAATAACTATAGCATTTTATTTTTAGATACTTTTAGATATTTACTGATTTTTTTTTTTTTTTTTTTTTTTTTTTGCAATTTCGAAATAATTTGTTGTATTTATATATATAAAAATATGAATAGAAGAAATTTAAATGAAAAAAATAAGGAAAAGAAATAAAAATTAGAATTATAGAGATTACGGTTATGGAGTGCCACGCCTATGGCTCAAGCTTAAAAGCAAAGGCCCGACAACTGTGTCGCTCCTTTGCGAACTATTTATGTATGTATGTATACCAATGTCTTGAAATGTCTTACATGCCATTCAAGGGATCTACAAACTGCGTGGGCGCTGGCTTGAATCGCAGCAGGTGTACCGGCGGATTCTACTAAAAACCATAGTTCAGGAATAGCCATGACCACTCCTACAACCCAAAGTGCCCAAACGAATCATGCAGACGCGCTGCACCAACGAAACCATGAGCCAACCCAATCGATGGTTTGCGTCAATCACATAATCACATCTAATCAAACCCCTGGCGCCTGGCAGCAGCTGACCCAGCTGACCGCCGTCAGCCTGGCAAACTAGCCAGGCCAGGCCAGGCTTTGATCATCTCGAATAGGCGTTCTTGTGCTTCGTTTGGGTACTCAAGTGAAGTAAATGAGCATCGCTATCTAACGCAAAACTAATAATTTTAGTTACAATTTTGGATGAATTGATTTTCAGCAGCAACAAAAGTAACAAAAATAGCAAGTCCAGCTGTTTTCTCTCTCTCTCTTCCTCGCTTTCCCTCACTCTGTCCTTTTCTTTTCCATACATAATCCAACACTCAGTCTCTCTATGAGTGTGTGTGTCTGTCCCGGTATGTGTTGTATTTAGTTTTAACAATAAAAAATAAAATAAATAAACTTTCAGGGCTGGACAAAAACTCTTGGCACTTGCTATTAAAGAAACTTTTATTGGCTACTGCAAATGAATTCACAATTGGATTGAGACACACATTTTCAATTTGTGCGCTGTAAATTATATAAATAAAAATAGAATTACTATTATTGCAGAAATCGTATTTTGAATATGAAAACAGAAGTGAAAAGAACTAAACATAAACGCAAATGAATGCGAATGCATACACACACATGTACTTGGGGACATGCATGCATATATGTATATACGCGCGAATACATCATATACACATGCACACACACTACGCATTCACAAAACACCAGTGTGCGTGTGTATGCATATCTATGAGATGAGCAATTTTGTAACTGTGCAAATGAATGTATGTATGTATGTATACCAGTATCGATTAGAACTACCTTTGCATGAATGTATGCGCCCTGTAGAAGCACACATGCATACAAATGTAGGTATGTATGTATGGATGGAATAAGGTAAAATGGGAAAATAAAACCTTGGTGTGCCGCAATATTTTTTTTTTATAAATGCATAGGTATAACGTACATATCGCACATATTGATCTTAGAGATGTACTGATGCTCTGTTATATATGCAAAAGTACGCAAATACGCAAACATTTTTCATTTGAGACAGCATGAAATTAAATAGACGCTGGTGAGTAAATAATCGATCATGAAATACATTTCAATACATATTAATGTGTGTTTGAATGTATATACACAATTATAGAAACGTTACTATTTCAACTTACATAAACGCCACCCGAAACAAATTGTTTATTTACCACGTTCCTGCGACTGCGATTCATTTTAACTGTTTGACTTTTAATTTAACACTCCGGCAGACTACTACGACTTAAGGGAAACTCTTCCTTTTTGGTAAACCTAGAAGAGATACTTATATCGATTGTGGACAGCTGATATCTGGTCATCGGCATAAGTTGCCGATGGGTCACATCTCTCATAAATTTATCGTTCAGCATGTGCGTAATCGGAGATTTCAAATTCCTCCATAATTATCGATAGCAATCCCTGATTGGTTGCGATGTAAACAAGTTGAAAACAAAAATACCTTAATAATAATTGTATTTATTTGGCAATTTAATCTTTCATTCTGAAACTGAGAACAAATTACTACTGTACAGTACTCTGGTACACAAATGCAAGAACTTGTGTGAAATGTATATAGTTTATTTTGTTTTGCGCTTGCTCTTACTGGCCTTCGACTTTGCTTGCGGCTTGTTTTGTTCATGGGTGGCTCTATAAGTTCCATGTAATTTATCCAGCCAGCCCGTAACGCCATAATTGTAATTGAATCTATGAGAGAGTACAATGAAGATGATTACAATGAACTTATGCAGTAAAATTGACCTTACTTGGCATGATGATAGTCGTGGAAACGAACAGATCCGCCTGACCAGGGAAAACTGTAGCCGGTATGATCGCTCATCGAGTTTATGACTGCCAGGGATATAATGCCCCAGGCAACGACGACGTGAGTGCCCAGCAGAGAGACGGATATGCCCACTGGGAGCAGATTAGCTACCACGTGCTCAATGGGGTGTGCATAGAGGGTCATAGCAGCCACGGGCGCCGTCCATTCGTGATGCTTCTTGTGCACGTATTTGTAGACGGATCTGTGATGCATCAGGCGATGCACGTAGTAAAACATCGTCTCTTCCATGATCACAAAGATGACAAAGTCGCGTATGATGCGTCCAAAACTTGGCAACTGTCGGATATCGGTGATGTTGTTGTGCCTGAGCGACACTTCGTAGAGCAGCCAGGTGGTAAAGAAGTTCACCACAGTTAGGTTAAATGCGACCACCTTGACGGCCTTCCATAGACGGCCAAGATCGACCGGCTCATTCTGGCCCGGCTGTATCTTGTACTTGCGCAGGAATTTCGGTCGATTTGTGATGTCCATGATCGTAAATAGGGCAGCATAGATCCAATAGACGAAAAATATAATAATTGTGGTGCCGTACACCCACAGGCGCATCGGATCATCGCCAGTGACATCGAGTAGCGCTATCCAGCGCGCCTGCAGCGCTTCGCCGGCATAGCGCCAGCGCAGAGCAAGGCTGGAGAGGATTGTGGCTGCGACCATGGCTAAATCTCAACTGCTATGGGCACAGCGCGTCAGATATATGGGTTTTGCACAGGATACTCTACAATCGAATGGGCATATCAGCTTTTTAAGCCACCTTGTGAAGTCGCGGAAAAACTTCGGCAACCACTGATGAAGGCGGCTCTGGCAGCTATTCGTAATATGAATCTCATTTGACCTGCTGAATTTGAAAGCCCAATGGCTTTTAGTACAGTCAAAGATACATATAATATTATATTTAGACCATGTAATATCTGCACATGTGTTTTTGTTTAATGGACAAAATTACAGATAAGATGATATCCAATCAATCTCCATGATCTCATGACAAAATATCTATTATCTACTGAAAATATACGAGATAAAATGCATACATTTCTTTTAGAGGCCTTGGAGGTGGGAAAAAGAAAAAGAAAGATGAATTTCTAGTTGAAGTCTTGGATTGAGTTAATTTGCCTATAATCATGATATCATGGTTGGCTAACTTGAAAACTATTTTGGTGCCTGTTTTAAATTGTTTGGATTCAGTAAACTTTCGAACTAAGCTGATTTAAATTTGTTATTTTTGGAACCAATTTACTTAGCTGAGTTTCTCCACTAACCATATGGTTAGTGGTTTCTCAAATTGTAGGTAGTTTAGAGTGCTTTGTGATTCGAATTGGAATTGCTTTTTTACATTTTCACTGATTAGGTAAAATTGTTATCGTTCTGTCGTAGTTCATTTATAAGAGATTAACTATTGCTAGGTATTATTAAAGTCATAGATTAGTTCTATTTTTAATCAGCGAGGGTACACGAATTATTGTGCCCAAAGTTCAAGAAATCTCTTTCGAGTGTGGTTCTTTCTTATTTATTTCTTATATTTCTTCATTCTTTTATTTTGTATTAATTTTATTCGTTCGTGCTGAGTGCGAAGTGTACATACATCAATGCTTACTACTAGATCAATTTGTTTTAAAGCTTTTATAACATACACATTTACAGCACGTTCTCATTTTTGTTGTTGTTGATAATTGATAAATATCAATGTTTTGATGTCTATAAAAGTAATACCCGATCTGATTTTCCAGCTTGGCTATTATCACAATATCGTGTGCACATATAGAAATTGCAAAGGAACAGAAGAAAGCTAAAAACAATGCAGCTCCTTATGCTGTATGAGTGTGTGTGTGTGGGTGTAGGAGCAGCTAGGGTACAGAGACGAGCAGTGGGAGGGGCCTGCGCCAGCTCCCGCAGATGAGCTCACTTCACTTCATGGTCGAGTCGGGAAAGGCGTCACGGGGCGGCACAAAGCTCAGCATCATAATGTGGCGCGCATAGGATTTGGTTGCACGGAACAGCGAATCGGTGCCATGCAAGCGATCCAGGACACCCAGAACACCGAAGCAATTGTTGAATCTGAAAGAAATCAGATTGTATGAATAACTATGGATGTATATAAATAAAAAAGTATATATACATATACAGTATATGCATAATAATTTAAATAAAAGATGAGAATCTTTCAACAATATACTATACATTTTTATAGAACCATCAATAATTTGTTTAGGCTATAGAAAGAATATATGCGAAGAATATTTGAGGAATTGCTTTGAGAGGATATTTTTCTGTGACAGATGATATAGTGCTTCAAGCAATATGTTAGCTTTGAGCCTCAGAGACTATAATGTGAAACAGCTAAATTTACACATCAAGAGAGAATTGTGATTAGCAACAAGATTAACGGATACACAGACAGAAGGGTCTTTATGGCTATGGCTGTATATGTATGTAAGCGAATCAGTATTTGATAATGCCATAAAGTTTAGATAAGCCTAAGCAGGTTCATATACAAGTTCATGAAGGAGTGCTTTATAATAAAAGCCAAACAGATAGAGTAGAGATAATAAACGGCTATTGCTATGGACTGGCGGGAACTTAATTGCGAACTGAACTCCAAACTCACTTCAGATGATGAAAGTCGTGCGCCTCGGGGCTAGGAAAGAAGGGCAAGTGATAGCCGGAGTGGGCGTTCAGCGTTGAGAGTATGGCCAGAGCGAACCACAGCCAGGCGGTGGCCACGTGACTGCCCATCAGGAATACGCCCAGGAACGGCGGCAATAGGTTGCTGAAGATGTGCTCAATGGGATGGCAATAGATGGCCGTGACCGATATGGGAGCGGTCCACTCGTGATGCTGCTTGTGTATGAACTTGTAGATGTACTTGTGGTGGAGCAGGCGGTGCGAGTAGTAGAAGCCCAGCTCCTCCATTAGTATGCACACGGTCAGCTCGAAGCAGACCCAGTGGAAGGTTGGCAGCTCGCGAATATCGCTCAGGCCGCGCACCGTCATCAGTTTGTAGCTGAGGAACGCCAGCGGTATGCCAACAAATATTTGATTACAAATCACACGCCAAATGACCTGCAACACAAAGGGAGACATTTTAATAATACTCATCGTCATTCACAGATTTCAGTCTTCAACTCTGCATGATCAACTGAATGAAAACTCATTGCGCATTCGTCACCTTCATTAGGCGTCCGGCCTCGACGGGCTCATTGGTGCCCGGCTGGATTTTATATTTGCGCAGACAGGCCGGACGATTGGTCAAGTCCATGAATGTATAAATGCCGCCCACGCTCCAATACACGATCATTGTGAATATGGTAGTGCCAAAGACCCAGAGCACCATGGGATCATCGCCTGTGAGCAGGGAACAAATATAATTTAATATGAATAAACATTTTTAAAAATGGTTTTCCTACATCAAATAATTATTCAATTCCATGAAATACCATTATTTTATTTATCACACTTATTAAATTAATTGGCAACATCTTATCTAACTTAACCGAAACAAACTATCATTATCAATATTATTATCAGACTAAAGTTTCCTTATCACTACACATATTATGGCCAATCTCATTCGGATTAGAGTTATCATAGTCAATGTCATTGTCCTTTTCATTATCAGTAATATTACAGTTATAATAACCATTAGTGATTTCACGATCAATTTACCTATCCTTAACATTATCCCTGCCCTTTGTATCTTCATTTGTATTTTCATTACTCTTATCACTCTTATCACTCTTGTCATTATCAAATGAAAATTCATGAGCAAATTTATTAGTTTATCACTCTCAGTGCCATTTTATCGTCATTCTCAGTGTCAGTATTTCGAAATACCTATCAAACGATCTATGACACCCATCCCATCCCATCACGTATTGCCAGAAGCAATAAATATTAATAGATCCAAGTGTTAGCAGTTAAATGCCCTTTGGCTTGCGAATGCCGGCATATACATACATACATACATATGTACGTATCTGCGTATCTGTCTATAGTTGAGCATATTATTTATTTATTAAAAGATATTCACATATGTAGAGTCAACTTAATGGTCAACTATGAAAGGTATGCTTAACGTCTGAGAGAGCAATATTAATAATATATATTATATATTATACTTCAATTTGGACTCTAACGGCTCTTTTGTATCTGTGTATAAAAGTTTAGAGTGAACCTATGCTTAGCTATGCTCAATTTCTTCAACGTTAAACCACATCAATTTTCTTTGAATGAACACGGGCCCAGGCCTAGATAAAGCTTTAGAGCATTCATTTTCCTTACTTCCTACCCCGCTGTGCTCATATTTAATTTTCTTTTTATCTTAAATACATTTGAATGGGCATGAAAAAACGCTCACTTAAATAAATAAACACTTCCAATCGCACACTTACAATATATTTAACACTATGCAGTAAATATGGGATCCTCTACCTTTTTAAAAAGAGCTATATACTGAATAGTATAAATCATAAAAATAAATATCTGTTATCTACTTGAAAGCGCCTTTGCCTTTCTCATATATGTATGCAGCTGCATAAAGATTTAATTGAGCAATGGAACTGTGTTGCACAGTGTAATCAGCGCTCCCCGTTTAGCCTTTGACTGTATGTTGACATGTGTGTGTGTATATGTATATACATATATCTGTGTGCATGTGCGAATTAGTAAACAAACCAGATGCTATTTATTGTTGAATCTGTTTGCTTTTGCGGTTGTCTCTGGATGTGAGGCAAAAGTGCAATTTGTGATATCTGACACTACAAAGCCAAGCGAAATTAAAGAAAGAAACACACACACACACACGCGTGGACATACATACATAGTTAAAAGTCTTGAGTGCATGCGCACTAAGTGGATGAGATTCTTTTAATGTTCTTTCACTTCTTTACTTTGCTTCTACTTTTTGCTCATTCTCTTTTGTGCACGCTCAATCGTTGTGTTTATGTTGGCCAACTTACCAAACATGTCGATGAACTTATCCCACTGCGATTGCCAAAAGTCTCCGGAGGCGCCCCAGAAGCTCTGCAAATGCCTAGTGGGCAGGTAAGAAAACTCATTGAATTTATCCATGCGACGCACAGGTATATCGAAAAAAAAGAAACACAACAAATAAATATAAACAAAAATAAAATAAATAGAATGCGCAGCGACTGTTCTCTAGGTGTCGCTCAGTCGGCGGCCGTCAAGCAACTGATTTTTGGGTCGGAATGGGGAATGAGAAAGCGCAGCTCAGCGCGTACAAAGCCATACAAAATGAGAGGAAGATAGAAAGAGTGCAAGAAAGAAGCAGGGAGGGAGAGAGGCGTAGAAAGGCTTTTCTTTACTGCACTCATATATTTGCATGAGTCTACACACGCGTGTCGTCCGTTACATAAAGCTTTCGAAGCTCAGTGAGCTTTGCATCCAGCTTGAAAATATGCAGTGATCTACATACGTATGATCTCGGAACTATTGTGAGTTTTAGCTTAATATACATACTATGCAGATATTTTAGGTATTTATATTGATCTGTTTTTTTTTATATATGTTTATGCATATATGTATATTTAAGTATAGTCGTTCTGCTGTGGTATTCAAATGCAATTCGGAAGAAATTTTAGTTCATTAGTTGATAAATACTCGTACATGAAGTCAGTACAAGTATATTCATTTATAATACT